TTTCGATATACAAAAAATTTAAAAAAAAAAAAAAAAAAAATGTACAAAATTTTTTTTTCCAAAATCATTATTTTTGTTAAGACAAGCAGATAAGTTCCTTGAATCAATTGAATCGGACGCTTAGTTTTCTCAAAAACTGCCATTTTTTGTACAATTAGCTCTGTATCTCCGTAATGGCTGGGCCTGCCTTTGCGAAATTCTAATAACCCCTTCTCCCAATCAATACTAATTGAATGTTTTTTAGATCATTCAAATCGGATGCTCCGTTCTCTCAAAAACTCGATTTCTATTTTCTGCACTCTTTGCTTCTTATCTCCGTAACTGCTGGACCTGTCTTTGCCAAAAACTAATCAGCTCTTCTCCTTTATTAATAGGAATCGAATGTTTTTTGAACCATTCAAATCGGTTGATCCGTACGCCCGAAAACGTGGGCGAAAATTTGTATCCATACATACATATACACACACACACACATACACACACACACACACACATCCATTTTTTCTGAGGTATGCCAAAACGTTCAGAAACCTTCAAAACGTCGAGAAATGTAAAAATTTTCATTTCCGATTTTTGGCCCATTACAATAACTTACCCTACGGGAAGTTAATAATAAAATAATATAAAAAAGCGCGTGTGTCTACAATCCGGGTTCAAACCCCTTCATGTACCCCTATATCGAGCAGTAGTGATAACAATTTTTACTTGGAATTATAGATTTTAAATATGCTTCCGAGTGAAAATAGCCCTACCAAGACACTGCTGCATCAATTATTTCTATTAGATGATTTCTAATAAAAATAAATCAAATATAGATAGATCAATCACTTGGTTTGTCATTTAAAAAATAGTACATGAGAAATTCAAGCCCAACGGCTTATACAGGGTGTAAAGTGGAATAAAATATATATAAAAAGTATAGCAGTAATAATACTATCACTATTTGAGGCGGGAGTCTGCTTTTAGAGGCTTCAAAAAATTGCTTTTTTGACCAATTTTTAGGGAATGAAATTAATATTTAATTGAAACCCAATTTTCAAGTTAAATTGTTGAATTGTTATATATTTCAACATTCCCCCCAATTTTTTTTCTTTAAAATATATGTCATAATATGCCGGGTACTATCATTTTGCCGATGCGCCACGAGCAAGAGTCATTTGGCAGAAAAGATCACAAATTGCACCCGAAACAAAAAACCAAAATATTTTCAATAGTATAGGTTTTTGTAAACCTACAAAAACAGAAAATGGAAAAATTTACCAACTTTTTACTACTTCAAAAAAATCATTTTTTTAGTTAAAACAAAATTCACTTTACAATAGGTTAATTATAATTTTAAGATTTCGTTAGGTTCAACCATAAGAGAATTTAAT